ACACACACACACACATACACACACACACACACACATACACACACACAATCACAACAACAACAAATTAAAAAAAAATAGCAACTAGAAAAAGAGAATGGTCTCGGAGACTTCTCAGAAATTGCGCGTACAAAAAGAGACGAACGTCAGCTCATAACTAGCCTAGGCCTAACAATAAACAACTTGAATTGCGTTGGAAGAACGAACATCAAACACTTTACGGTACAACTCAAAACAAACAAGTCCAGCGCCCGGATGCGAGACCGATGTTCTATCGGTTCTCTGACCTCGCAGGTCGTAGGTGACTGACCGGTGGCCTCAGGGTAAGATCAGGCTGACCTGCGAGTGGTCACCGCTGGATAAACCCTGTCACCGACTTCATACTATAACTGACCACTCAGTCGTTTGCTGTCCGTTTTCGAGATCTCGCAAGACAGGCGGGTAATAAATTTGACATTAGGAAGATTACCATAGAAGGATTCTGTTGCCAGCGGGTCGAGCCGGGGTTGAGAAGCTTAAGCTTGCTGTTTGTTGACTTGTGCCTTCTGCTACGGTCTTTTCTGTGGCTGCTTGTTTAGTACTGGTGCGAAAATGTTAATAGTGCAAGAATGCTGTAATCATGGATGTGGTTAACAGACCCGTTGTTTTGTTGTAGAGATGAACCATTTTCCTTTTAAAATTATGAGTTACACATCCTCCTCCTCCTCGTTTGTTGTTGTTGTTGTTGTTGTTGTTGTTGTTGTTGTTCTGTGTGTGTGGTAGCCTATGCGATCGAAATGTTTGGAGCCCTGAAGAGCGTGCTCCTCGCCAGGGCCACCGCCTCCCTAAAAAAAATATGGAACGCTTCACGAATTTGCGTGTCATCCTTTCGCAGGGGCCATGCTAATCTTCTCTGTATATTTCCAATTTTACTATAGAAGTCTTTGTACTGTGTGAACAGTGTTGTTCTTGTTGTGTTGCTCTTCTTCTTCTTCTTTTTCTTTGGGCGAGCTCAGTTGGTATCTTGCCTAGTGATATTGCAGGTTACCCTGGTTCAAACCCCAAATCGGGTGTTCTTGAATTTCGGCTGTTTAGTGTAATATATCCCACCAACTTGGCTTTGTTTTATCGGAATGGGTTCTGATTCGGTAGTTCCGTCTTTTGATAAACTTTGAGGTTTTGATCCGTGTGTTCGCAAAAAACAAACAAATAAACAAACAAGCAAACAAACAAATAAACAAACAAGCAAACAAACAAACAAACAAACAAACAAAACGTTGCTTCAAAATAATAAAATAAAGCTACAGATCTCCCTCACTCGAAAAAATTTAATTGATCTGTTCACAACACTTGCTGTTTTGTTTCTCGCTTTCATTTTGAATACGCATAATATTGTGGTCTGCGTCACAGCTCACCAATGACATACTGACATTTTTCGGGGCAAAACTTTAGCCCCCACATGAATGTGATTTCCTGATAAATAACATGTAAAATTGTAAAGGATTTCTGCTCCTGCTGTATAGTTTATCTGATGAGGAGAGTATGATAGTGAAAGAGGGGGGGGGGGTGTCGTAGACGGATATAGCAACAGGAAGATGCCTTGGTCAAATGGCGTCGTTCAAGACTTTATTAGACTCAGGGAAAACAGCGTGACGTTCTTTAAAATATGTTCGCGCATGATCTCAAACAGCTCTCAATTTGACTTGATTAAAGTTTGTTGGCATGTAGACCGAGCTTCACAGGTTAATATCCCATATTTTTACGGCGTGTTTAAACGAACAAGCTCGTTACCAAGACGACAAGAAGGAAGTAAAGGAAAGAGAACACGTTTTCACATGTCTTATTTTCCAAGAAATGTAGTAGAAGTAGTAATAATAATGATCATGATAACAGTAATAATAATGATCATGATAAGAGTAATAATAATGATAATATTAATGATGATACTACTACTACTACTACTACTACTACTACTACTACTACTACTACTACTACTA